CTTAAAGTTGGGGTAGTCAAACCTGGGGATACCCTAAATAAAGAACGTTTTTTGACTTTCTTTTTTTTTCTTTCTTTCTAAAGACGAGCAGATTTCACACTGGTCCTGGTTACAGCTGTGGAGAAATAATCTCACTTATAAGATTTTTTAAGATATTTTTGACCAATAACACATAGGTTACACATAAGTTACACATCTTTAAATTGATTTTAAATAGATCTAATCCCCCATATTCAATAAGTGGTCAAATAAAATAACCTCGTGATGTTGTGGTGTTAGTAAGATAAGATAAAATAAGATAAAATAATCCTTTATTGTCTCCCATGGGAGAAATTTATCTTGGGACAGGGGGTCACATGCTTTATCAAAAAACAGGACAACACAACACAAAGCAGCACATAAACAAACACCATAGAACAAAATAAATATGAGACCAAGTCTGACCACGAGTGATGCACCAACAAGACCTTTAAACTATGCTTAACAGGCGAGTCCTTGCATTCTTGTATTCTAAGTGCAGTTTTGATTGTACATTCCCTAAGCCTTTTATATTTATTTTTTAACTGCACTATCAGAGTTTAGTAGATTAACGGCTAATGGCACAAAAGAATATTTGAATCTGTTCAGTTTACAGTTTGGGACCCTGAACCTTCTGCCTGATGCATCAACTCAAACTGACTGAAGAACATGGGTCGGTGTTCAATGGAAAATTTCAGGACTGAAATCAATCCAAATGATTCTAGTGAAGGTGTTGGAGGAGTTTAAAAACACAGTGGAGCTCTTCCTGTTCACCACATGACATCACAAGGTGTTTTCTGTTTGAGAAAAGAACTCAACCTAATGTACAGGATGTGTGTGTTAAACATGTGGGAATGAAACAAAACACAACTCGAGGTCTGTGTGTGAGGAGGAAACAACATCAGATCAGAAAAAACTAAACCTGACCCTTTAAGTCTGGATGATAAAGTCGCAAACACTACGCCAACTGTGTCACTAAGCCTATTTGTTTGTCTTATCAGAGTGTGGTTAATGATCAGACAGAGTGAAACCTGCAGCGGCCACAGAAAGAGTCCAGTCTCTTTACAACACAACCATTATTACACAACAATCAGTCACAAAGCCACACACACTGTAAAGATCAGAGCAGGAGCACAGAGCACAGTGTCTCTGACGTTCAAACACTTGTCCGTTAATCCAAAGGTCGACGGTTCAAACTGAACCGTCAAACTCTAGTACAGTTTTTGTGTTCTTAGGCAAGACACGTCACTCACCTTAAGAGTCTGGAGTGAATGAATAATGCTGCGTAAAGGGAACGCTGATATAGATCAGATTTCTTATCATGATCCATCCATCCATTTATTTTCTTCCGCTTATCCGGGGCCGGGTCGCGGGGGCAGCAGTCTAAGCAGGGACTCCCAGACTTCCTTCACCCCAGACACGTCCTCCAGCTCCTCCGGGGGAACCCCGAGGCGTTCCCAGGCCAGCCCAGAGACATAGTCCCTCCAGCGTGTCCTGGGTCTTCCCCGGGGCCTCCTCCCGGTGGGACATGCCCGGAACACCTCCCGAGGGAGGCGCCCAGGAGGCATCCGGAACAGATGCCCGAGCCACCTCAACTGGCTCCTCTCGACATGGAGGAGCAGCGGCTCTACTCCGAGCTCCTCCCGTGTGACTGAGCTCCTCACCCTATCTCTAACCCTATCTTTGCTAAGGGCTGTCCGGTCCCTGTATGACCGGAGCAGGAGCTGTGTTCGCATTGCCGGCAGTAAGTCAGACCTGTTCCCGGTGCATGTTGGACTCCGCCAGGGCTGCCCTTTGTCACCGGTTCTGTTCATTGTGTTTATGGACAGAATTTCTAGGCGCAGTCAGGGGCCGGAGGGGGTCCGGTTTGGGGACCACAGGATTTCATCTCTGCTGTTTGCAGATGATGTTGTCCTGTTGGCTTCATCGAACCAGGACCTGCAATGTGCACTGAGGCGGTTTGCAGCCGAGTGTGAAGCGGCTGGGATGAAGATCAGCTCTTCTAAGTCTGAGGCCATGGTTCTCGACTGGAAAAAGGTGGCTTGCCCTCTCCGGGTGGGTGGAGAGTCTTTGCCTCAAGTGGAGGAGTTCAAGTATCTCGGGGTCTTGTTCACGAGTGAGGGGGACGGAAGCGTGAGATTGACAGGCGGATCGGTGCAGCTTCGGCAGTGATGCGGTCGCTGTATCGGACCGTTGTGGTGAAGAGGAGCTGAGCCGAAAGGCGAAGCTCTCGATTTACCGGTCAGTCTTCGTTCCTACTCTCACCTATGGTCATGATCCATGATACAAGCGCTTGAAATGGGTTTCCTCCGCAGGGTGGCTGGGCGCTCTGATCATGATTTTAAAAACAAATAAGGCTCTAAATAGGGCCACACATATTTTTATCATCATCATCATTCATCCGTCCGTGTCCGTGCTGTAGTAAGTACAGCACGGACACTCGACAATGACATAATGTTTGCAGGTAATAATTAATAAATTTTAATTAAAAAAAAAAGTGATATTGGATAATTTCTCACGGCACACCTGACGATCTCTCACGGCACACTAGTGTGCCGCGGCACAGTGGTTGAGAATCACTGATCTAGAGTGATTCATGCATGTCTGAGTATTTTTTTACCCTCCTGTATTCAGGACGTCATTGGCACATGCCCACTGCTCTGTACACACTTCATTCTCCAATTTTATTTCCTTAACCAGTGATACACGTAGGATTCAGCAGTGTCGTGTAGTTATTTTGGCACAAATGGAAAATAAAAGTATTGCTTGCTAGTGTGATGTGCAGTTGTTAAATGCAGTTTGTTCTAAAGATGTTTACAGTGTTGTATTGTAAAGGAATCAGCTCCTATTGGGCTTAGTTTAGTTTAGTTTAGTTTATTTAGTTAATGAGTCAGGGATAGTGCACAATATACATCAACCTTAACAGAAGAGATGCATTGTGCCACATTGTAGCACTAGAGCTTATTTCCATCTGTCGTCCTGTGGCAGGTTGATGTTTTATACAGTCGCTATATCATGGTTCACCTTTCATGGTCTTGCTGTTTCGCAGATTTTTTTTTTTTGGTGCAATTTTGTATGCTTTTTTCTACAGGAATCAGTCCTAGGTCAGTCCTTGTTTAGTCCTGTTTTGGTCCTAGTTCAGTCCTGGTTTAGTCCTCCTCTTCAGTCATGGAATCAGTCCTAGGTTAGTCCTGGTTTAGTCTTGGTTCAGTCCGTGGCGTAGGCAGTGCAAACTTTTGATATAATCTCGGGCTAAGGGGCAGGTGCGGTGCTGTACTGCATGGCTGTAGGTCTCCTAAAAATTGACCTGTGCAGGACTCTGCGCTGTAGGACTCCATTATCTAATAAATGAATCTTCGGTTCGTTACATAAAGAAGGAGGAAAATAACAAAAGGAGGACAGCAGCAATAAGTTTTTAAAAAGATGTAAAAAGTGTTGTAACTGTCCTATTTGAGAAAAGTGTATAAAGTTTGTGCTGAGGGGATTTTACAGACTTAAAACAGATAGAATCATTGTAAAATATAAAGTTGACTACTTCATGGTTTTCACCTTTTGCGGGTTATTTTTAGAACTTAACCCCCTTGATAAATGAGGAACCACTGTACTACATAAAATCAAACACACAAAGAGAATGTGTTTATAATGAGTCATTATACAATTCTGTTTCCTCATTCACACCCTGTTCTCTCAGCAACTTCAAATCATGATCAGTTCATTCACTTCATTCTCTTTGCAATTTTCCAACCCTCCAAACGTGAGCAGACTTGTTTCTTTTATTATAAGTGATAATAAATGATAACTATATAGCAGACAAAAGCACATTATATCTTCTTATAAAGGTTCGTCAAATACTATTCTTCATGGACATGTTATTGCTTTGTCTGGAATATTTCACAATATGGTTAAGCAGTTAACACTTACAATCAGAATGTTTGTTTTTCTATGTATTTTTGAGCTATAAAACCACCTGTAATAAAATAATTGGGCCCAGTCAAGCAGAAGTAAACAGCAAGGCCAAAAATTCAAGTTAATTCATCTGATATAAAAATGTATTGAACAGATACATATGTACTCTAGTTTATGAAACTGTTGACCTTTTTTCTGTACCATTTTTGGTTCTAAAGTTCCATATGTTTTAAACAGACCATGTATGAAACATGGAACAAAAATTATTTCCCAAATTTCAAAGACCTGCAAATCATGTCAATAAATGGATGTATTTCATCATATCTTGTGTTATTCCATCTTTGAACTGTTGATGAAGGTACAGGATTTAAAAAAAAAATGTATAAAATGATAAAAATTTGCTTGGAAGGACTGACATATTTTATAGAAATAGTTTCCTTTCATTTTGAAGTAATATTAAAGTATTAAGAAAAAAAAGCGACAAATGATGTAAAATCCTGCACCTTCTACTTGTTTGTACAATTTTCCCTCCGTTACTTTTTCCCTCCGTTACCATGACCTTTCTTAATAAAAAATCTCAAAAAGACTCAAAAAGTAAGAGGTTTTTCAACCTAATCTTGTACCATATGGTAGAAAACTATATGAAGCAAATATTCAAACCAGTTTGTTAAGGATATGGAAGTGAGAACCAAGAGTTATCACTGTTTGGATTTATTGCCCAAAAAGTGCTGCATATTTCATTCCCTCTGTTACCGACATGAGTGTTAAAAAAAAAAAATTGTCACCAACTTGAAAGAATATCACAGGTTTAACTTGACCCTGTTGGAGTGTAACTCTTTCCTACATTCTGATACTTTACTTATTTCAATAGTCCCTCTAGTTTCTGAATAAGAGACATTTGAATGTCAAAAATCTGCCTGTTTCCCTCCGTTACCACTTGACCAGACCCAAATATAATGTAGAGCTGTTTCATGTCACACTGTGGAACATTCCAGGCTGAGCGATCACATCTCCATACCTGATATCTGTTTTATCTGATTCTAAAACAGAGCTACAGTCCGACCGCTGATCCTTACCCAGTGCTGCAGGTCGGCGCTCTCTGCTGGTCCTCTCTGTGGTTCGTCCCACAGGATGTTGGACTTCCCGTGTCTCCAGATTTTACTGCGTGTCTTATATGAGTAATACGCCGATAAAGACAGAGCCAGGACCACCATCATGCCCAGAACCAGAGCCACAGACTGGAGACGACACAAGACAGAAGAGGTAAAGGGTGGATGACATTTTACTGTATTTGGCTAATTTATCTTCAGAGTAAAGTATGTTTGCTCTGCTTGTTTTTGTGAGTTGTCTGCATTTTTTTTTTATTGAACTAAGCTTTTTGCACAAATAGAAGGGTTCATATTTTTAAACACTGCTGGGGAATAACTAATAAGAGAATAACAGAATAATGTTGTAATAAACTTCCTTTGCATAAGACATACAGTTTGTCAAATTGTGTTGGTTTAGTCTTGGTTTAAATTTGATTCAGAATCCACTTTTTCATATATTTTAACTTTTTTTTGTTATCTAAGATGGTCTAAGTCTAAGTCTGATGTCACAATGAATTCACAGAAATCTCTGAAAACATTAAAGTGAAGTTGAGTCTAAAATCACACATTTTCACTCAGACTGAATCATTATGGAAACTAATGTAATTGCAATGAAACTGACAAATGTTGAGACGTTTCTTCACACTTTCTTTCCATGTTTTTACCGTATTTTCTGGGCTATTAGACGCACTCTTAAGCCTCCAACCCCATCAAAAATTGTACCCCACAATCCAGAGCACCCTATACATGAATCCACTCGGGTGTCCCAGCACGACTTCAGTAAACTACAAAGCCACAAACACACACGGAGCAGACAGCGAACGCAGCCACACTCATCACTCCACGCCGACGAGGAACGGAACGGAGGAACGAACCGAAAAAGCGAGTGCAATGTGCCACTTCTAGACACAACTGAACAACTGAGTCACTGCGAACACGCCGACAATCCGTTGGTCCCAGACACACCCTCCCTACACGCCACAACTGAACAAAGCCCAGAGTCACCGTGAACGCCACAAACAAACAAAACCACTCACCCATCACACTGTTGGGTTTCCTTTAAAGTCCAGTGAGGTTTATTTGTGAAAAAAGTTTGAAAATAGACCATTTAATCACAGTGGGTCTTATAATCCAGAGCAACTAATAGCCCGGAAAATACAGTAGAAGGAAAGAGGAAGAAGTGGTAACACTTTAAAATAACTACACCTTACTTAGCCTTAATAAAGCATGAACAAAGACTTAACTGATAATGAACAAAGATTTAATTAATAATGATTCACGCTTAGTAAATGCTTAATAAAGCATAATTAGTCTTCACTTTAGAAAAGCTCTCAAAAAGACTTAACAGATAACAGCTGCCTGAATGATCATTGCATTGTATTATTAGTAAATCATTCTCTCATAGCTTATTAATGATTAATAAATGCTCAAATGGTTAGTCCATGAGTAATTAAGTATGAAATAATTATGAGTAACTATAAGCTGTAGTTTTATCTTCGCTTAGTTTATGTAAATTAGTGATGTGGTTTTAAGTTTCGTTTCTGTGAGACTTGCACAAAACTGAATTAAACACATTATAATGTCAAACGGGCTGATGTGGCTCTAGAGTGGTTATGGTTTATATGTCGTAAAGCTGAATTTATTTATGCAGATTAGTAATGCAGATAGTAATAATAATGATGATCATTTTAATATAAAAACGTTAATGATTAATCGATAATCGATCATTAATTCTTCCGACGATCGATTAAGAAAATTTCACCGAATGCCCGTCCCTAGTGTGTTTTAAAAAGCCAAAAAAAGCTAAAACTTTGTTCCAGGTAAGAGATTTTAATCTATTAATATAATCATTTTACACATTGTTTTTGTGATTCTAACTTTTGGCAATAAGCAGTTTTGTTCCTCATACAAACTCTGTCTACACGTAGTTGGATGTTAGATGTTGTCACTGGTCTGACCTCCTCTGGGTCCATGTAGCAGTAGTGGTGGAGGTACTGGTTGTACATGGGGTATCCTCCAGGGAAACTGCCCCCGGCTGCAGCGCTCAGACTGGGACTGACGGGGGCGCTCTGGCACATCATCAGCATGGGGTTATAGAGCATACTCTGAGAACTCTGGGACATGGGGTTGACTCCGATCACAAAGATGATGTCTATGATGCCCTGCACACAAGATTCCAAATATCAGTAAAAAATAAATCAATAAATAAAAAATTATTCACTGTATTTCTATAGCACATTTCACAAAGTTTCCAAAGTGCTGCACAAATACATAATAATATCAACAATAATAAAATGATAAAATAAACACTCAGATGTAATCATACTAGTCTTATCCCTCCCCATTCAGACGTTGCAGATTTGCAAAAGCTAAATGCCAATCACCTACTTACTCCAAATCCATATTTTATGAACTTTTTTTACTCAGGAGCCTTTTTTCCCATCCATGCTGATAAACGTGGACGATGCAGACTGTGCAAGAATGGTTACACACAAACAACCTGCCAGAAGTGCAAAGTACTTTTGTTATTTACAAAGGATAAAAGTTGTTTCTTGGAGAACCACATGAAAAAGTGATGTTGTTCTGCCACTGTAAAGCTGTTACACTCTGCTTTATGTTTTCATTGTTATGAAAAGTGGTTTACACATAAAGTTAGTGTTCATATCATATTCAGTCTTCAGTGTTAATTTACCACACTGGGTCAATGCTGCAAATCTGTAACATCCCAGAACACACTGGATGTGAAGGTCTCTCAAAAAAAAGTCAGGATTGTATATTACTTCTCCATATGATCATTTTCCCCAAATATCAGATTTTTTCTTGTTGCTAAAATTTAATTTGAGCCTGAGAGGGTTAAAATAATAAAACCAGTCAAATCAAATAAGACCAAAATCATAATCAAAATCAAACTCTAAGTTAAAGGCACGTCATATTCTGTTGAAGAGTCCACCACCTGTTTTGTCTCCACACTATGGAGGTCAAAAGTCTCATTCTAGAGGTCAAATTTCCATTAGATTTTTTTCCCATACACAAAAAAAAAATCAAACATTAAGAGTTCAAAGACATCAGCACACAGCTGATAAAGCCTGAGCAAGCTTCTAAACTTTTAACCTGCTTTTTTTTTTTGGTCCATGGCAAATATGAATTTGAAACACACTTCAGGAAACGTGGGACAGGCGGACACAGTTAATGTCCATGGAATTAAATCTTACATTTCAATAGCAGGTGCTGCTGTGGCTCAAAAATACCTGAAAAGAACTATTCTTGTTGTGAACGGACTTGCCTCTCCGTAGACTAGACCTGGAGACCTCATCTGAAGTGTTTCGGTCCTTTTTTTTTTCCTAGTTTTAACCCAGTTTGAGTCCTAATGTAGACTTGGTTTGTTCCTGTTCTAGTCCTGGTTTAATCATGGTCAAGTCCAGATTTAGTCCCAGGTTTAGTCTCAGTTTGGAATATTCCAGACAAAGTGATAACATCTCCATGGAGACGAGCAGCTCATAGACAATCCACTAGAAACGTGACACCAGATTTTGTACATCAGGTGTAGGTGTATGTAAAGATGCACTATGTAACTTTTTGGCTGGAGATCCGTCACCTCTTTGTTTGTATGGCGATGTCATTGCTCTGCCTGTAATGTTCCACAGTGTGACTTTAAACAGCTCTGCCTTACATTTATTCAATTACAGGTGGTTTTTCTAACTCAAAAATACCAATAAAAACAGACATTCTGAGTGTGAGTGGGGTCGCCTTTCCGCAGATCTGACCTGTAACTTGGTCTGATTTGGTCTCCATGAAGATAGAAAGTTTTAATGCCATACTGTGAAACATTCCAGACATTAGTAAGTAGTAAGTAAGTAATATAATTTTAATTTGAAGTAAAATAGTTTTCATAGTTTCACAGTACAAAAAGTTGCCAAATTATCAACTCAATACTCCACCCATCTAGATAAAAGTACACATAAAAAGGACACAGCAGAAATGTGTTTTGAGAAGTTCAGGGATCTGGTCACATTTGCACACGCAGCTCATAGAGTAAAATATGACAGTGTGTAATGTGAGAGGAGGAGGAGGGGGGGGGCTGCTGATCTCACTGTGAGTCGGATAAAAAAAACTACAGAAGAGCGATGGATCAGGTTTGTGCTCGGAACTTTGAAACACTCCGGATGTACACAGTATGTACAGTAAGAAGTGTTCTGTACTGGAACAGGCTGTGTTCATGTGACAGAATATAAGATTTACTGTTGTACTGGGAGATTTTCTTGTTAAAATATAGAAATGTAGATTTCATCACTTTAAAGAACCACTAAACATCAAAATCACTTTTTCTACTGATTCTTTGTGTAAATGGGTCTAAAATAGAAGTATGTCTCTATCCCTGGCCTTATTTTGGCACTTTCTAGCATATTTGTTTGGGTCAAAGTCGTGTTTGTATCGGACGCTTTAGGATCAACAGCCAGGACATTTGAGTTTCAGGGTTGGACTAACAGCACTAATGATTCAGATGCAGGTTATTACGGGACAAGCTCAACCACTGGCGTCTATGGGCGGGACTTGAGGAGCCCCTCAGCCCCGCCCTGACCCGGCACCGCCGGTCACTGCGATGTCCCGCCATGTCTGGAGAAAAGGGAAACGGCGCGATCCGAGCACAAATGTCCACTCTGCTTCAAAGTCCAGAGCACACCAGTCCACCCGTGTTGGATTGTTGTGTCTGTCAGTTGGCGGTCAATCATCGCTCAAGAGCCCGTGCCACACCAGCTCCCCCATCCCACCAGGCACCGCTCCACACCCGCTCCCTCAACCCACTCTGCAGATTTTGCTGAGGGGCAGAGTAAAGCTTCAGGAGGTGTTTAATGGCTCTTTAACATTTTCTCTGACTAGATGAATTGTATAATGTGAAACATTCCAGGAAAAAACAATAATATCCCTGTGGAGTCAAGCAGGTGGGGGCCCTCTACCAGAAAAGTGACCCAGTGTGCCTTTAAATATGATTTAAGTGTGTTTGAAATCAGTAGCTTTGCATTTGTGGTTGGACAGAGATGGTCTCAGATTCTGAATAGACACATGACATGCAGCTCTGATGTGGGTTTTTCTCGTCACTCAGTGAACTGATGAAGACGAGTCCCACTAGAACAAAACCTAAGAATTATTTGACTACATCTTGAGTCAAACCAAAGAGTTTTGTTTTGTCTTAATTGATGCAAAGACAATGAAAAATCTTAACTGAAACAATTAAAGCATTGTATTTCTCTGTAAACAAAAATATCTTATTGTCTTTTTTGTTTGAATATACAGAACCTGCTGAGCCTGGATTAAATCTCCAACAACTTTCTTATTGTGTCTCTAAAATGAGCACTCTGAAGAGATTCCTACTAAAGGTGCACAAAAACACACTGTTATTGTGAGCCGCTTGTGGACCTCCTTCAACATCAATTTAATGCCCAAAGAAATAACACTTTCATAGAGTCAAACAAGCAGCTGATTCTCCATCAGAAAAGTTACACAGTAGATGAATTCTATTTTTGTGAGATCCCAAACTTCGGCTCCAGCTCAAGTGTTTGTGATAAGAGTCTGGACCAATCAAAGGGCAGCTCTGAGGAGAAGGCAGCACCAAACGAACCAAAACAAACATGGTGGCACTGACAGATGTGCTTCAGATTATTTTAGCGGGTGTTTTGTTTTGTTGATGGAAGAGCTTTGTGCATTTGTGGACAGGTAAGTCACATATGCTTTTCTCTCAACAGATTTAACTCCAGTTTGCTTTTCCTCTGCTTGAGTAATCCCTCAGTCCACAGCAAAGGAGGCGTTCAATTCTGTCAACTGGACCAAAGTTTTTTGATTGAAAATTTTTCACAGCTCATCCAAGCTGCTTCTTCACTTCTAGTCAGATTACTGGTGGACATTTAGGCATAAACATGAGGCAGTGTTCAAATTCACTTCTCTCCAGTTGACAGAATTGAATTTCTCCTTTGTGATTTTCTGTTGTTGTGATGCTTCGACCAATCAGAGTGAAGGATTTGTTTGTACGTTCTGATCTTTGGTTCTGATAATTTTCTGTTAGAGTCCCAGAACTCTACTGTGGGGGCTACACCAGAGTCCTGTACTGGGTCAGGTACCTGCGGGTTGGTGAAACGGGTGGGTTTAAACATTCTGACATTTTACGGGCGGGTATGCAGGCGGGTAGTGATTACACACGGGCGGGTCAGGACTAAACCAGGTCTAAACCAAGACTAATCTTGAACTTAAGAGAGAACCCCGAGCCTGTGTAGCAGGGTGTCCACAAAGCACGATCGGGTGACGGCTGCACTTATCTCTGTGGGGGCGGAGCTCTACCCTGGTCCTGTCTCCTGTGGTCACCCGAAGGTATATGCGGGCATGTCCGAGCCCTAACAGTGAGTCCTGGGTTAGTCCTGGTTCAGTCCGTGGTGTGTGCGGCGCAAAAGTCCAGCATCTCGATGTTTCTTCTTCTCAATAAATAATGCCTATGAAGTGATGACAGTCGAGTTGTGTCTGTGAAGTCGTATTGAAGAAACTGTACTGAAGAAACTGAAGAAACGTACTGAAGAAAGCAAAATCGTTTCATTTCATTTCGTGATTGTAAATCTTGAAGTTGTAACTTTTCAATTCGTATTCTGACGGATGCTTCAGTTAGAATGTTTTTAATTTGTGTGTGATTTATCACGGCCACGGGCGGGTAACAGATGAAATGTTAATGGGTCTGGGCGGGTGCGGGTTTAACTTTGATAGAATCATGGGTTAACAGGTGGGTGTGGTGCTGTACTGTGCAGGTGCGGGCAGGTGCGGGTCTCCAAAAATGAACCCGTGCAGAACTCTGGGCTACACATATCAGTCTGGCAAGAATCAAGTTAGTTACATGTGCACCTTTTTGAAAATCTAGTTACAAAAATACTTCTTAAGATTCTTTTCCATAGTACAGTAGTTCAGCTTAACTCTCGTCGTTCGTTGTTGTGCAGTGTGTGTCTCACCTGCAGCACGGCCAGGATGATGTCACAGATGAAGACGGTGAGGTAGAACCTGCATCCTCTCATGGCTCTGGAGCGCGAGAAGCTCCCCACCAGGAAACCCAGAGACACCAAGAAGTTCACCGCCGCTATGGTGATCATGGCCGACTTAGCTGCGTGCGGCGTCATATAGGACCCTCCGTACCCGTAACTGCCCCCGTAGTACCCCGGCCCTGACCCCGCCACCCCGCCCCCGCTCACCCCCACGTACCCCCCGTACCCAAACCCGTTCACGTCCCAGACCAGGGTGGAGGCGACGCAGGCGAAGATCAGGAAACACATGAGGACAGTGGCTCCCTGAAAGGTCTTGACGAAGCCGGGCGGAGAGAACCAGCGGTAGAAGTGCTGCGGTCTCTCCTCCGTGTAGTACCCGTCGGGGAGGGAGTAGCGGTAGTCCACGTAGCGGGCCGGGGGCGAGTGCACGCTCCTGGGGGGGTAGAGGCTGGTGCTGGTGCTGTACTTGGGGCTGTAGAGAGGGGGGCTGTCGTAGTGATGGGGGTCGTACATGGTGCAGACTCAGAGCAGACGGGGAGTCACCTGCAACAAGGACAAGAGTTTAAAGAGGATATGTAGGCACTTTAAAGTAACATTGTGTAACTTTCTGGTGGTGGCATGTCTCCTCCGTCACCTAATTCAGAACATTCTCCATGAAGACAGATGGAGTATGTTTTATGCCAAAGTATGGAACATTATAAAGATGTGAACTGCTAGGCTGAAAAATCCAAAGCACAATGACAAAGTGCACTGAAATCTTTTATTACAGAAGGATGCTCATGTGTTTTGTCCATTGTGGTCCAAGAGCATGTAGAGAATTAAAAGTAGGCCTTGGACATTTGATACACAATAATAATAAAACTCAGGCCCAAGTTACAGAGTTAGAGGTTTTGTTTAGATTTATTTTTTTTTTTTTTGCTGGTCTTCACTTGGAATGGATTGTGTAATTTCCTTTTTTTATTAAAAGCTTGAAAGATTGAAAGCACTGTTGACCAGTTCTCGTTGCCTTGTGTCCTGAGGTGAGACACGGTGTGTTTACATTCATGATGTATCATGTCTGTCCTTTAACATGTTTTGTCCCAAATAAATAAATAAATAAATAAATAAATAGATGTAGTTGATGGAATAAAGGCAATTGGTGCAGATTAGGAGCCACATTTCAGTCATCTTCAAGGCAGAAGTATCTTAAATCTACCAAGTTATTGACTGAAAAGTGTGTACAGCACTCTCTCACACACAACTTTACAGTGGTCTGGTCTTCTAATCTGGTCCCTGATCTGGTCTCTGCTATGGTCTCTGCTCTTGTCCCTGGACTGGTCCCTGGTCTGGTCCTTGCACTGTTCTCTGCTCTAGTCCATGGTCTGGTCCATGGTCTGGTCCCTAGTTAGGTCTCTGCTCTGGTCCCTGCTCTCATCCTTAGTCTGGTTCCTGGTCTGGTCTCTGCTCTATTCCCTGTTCTTGTCCCTAGCCTGGTCCCTGGTCTGCTCTGTTCCCTGGTTTGGTCTGGTCTCGTCCCTAGTCTGGTCTCTGCTCTGTTCCCTGGTCTGGTCTGGTCCCTACTCTGGTCCTTGCTCTCATCCCTAGTCTGGTTCCTGGTCTGGTCTGGTTTCTACTCTGGTCCTTGCTCTCATCCTTAGTCTGGTCCCTGGTCTGCTTTGTTCCCTGGTCTGGTCTGTTCCCTGGTCTGGTCTGTTCCCTGGTCTGTTCCCTGGTCTGTTCCCTGGTCTGGTCTGGTCGCTGGTCTGGTCTCTGCTCTGGTCTCTGCTCTGGTCCCTGGTCTGGTCTTACATAAGTCCGCTCACCTCAGTCCCCTCCTGTTCTCGTCTGAACCTCTTTGAACACATCTGTGGCACAGTCTGCAACTCTACCTCGCTCTTTCAATTATTCACACTGAGCAGATGAGGAAGAGGAGGAGGAGCCAGCCCAGGCCACAGGAGCAGGGTGACAGGAGCAGGGTGACAGGAGCAGGGTGACAGGAGCAGGGTGACAGGAGCAGAGATGATGGGAGCAGATGCAACAGTATCAGAGCCGGCAGGAGCAGGGATGGCAGGAGCAGAGCCAACAGCAGGAGGGCCAAAGTGACAGGAGCATTGGCAAACTGACAGGAGCAAAGGCAAAAAGAGCAGGGCCCTGGCGACAGGAGCAGAGCTGAGACAACAAGAGCAGACGGGTGTGACAGGGGCAAAAAGAGAGATGGCAGTAACCGAAACGACAGGAATAGAGGTAAAAGAAGCAAGACCAAAGCAACAAGAGCAGGGCCAAGGTGACAGGAGCAGAGGCGACAGAAGCAGCCGCTGTGGTCCTCAACCTGCTCTGCTCCGAGGTCATGTGAACCTGTGTGCACCTGCTCCCAGCACAGTGACACACACTCACATATACACACACAAACACACGCGCGCACACACATAAAACACACGCACACACAACACAGAACAATAACAAACAGCGTGTCATGTGTGTGTGTGCTGTCAGTGAAGTCCTAGAGAACATTTAAAGGTTGTATAGAGGATTTTTTAAGGGAAAAGAAATAAAGCGACAGTCCTTTTTCAAATGTTGTGCATGCGTGACACCACCTTCCTCCTCCACAGCTCCTCAGTAGAAACATCTCCTCCCACCTCCTTATTCTAAAAATCACGCTTGTTTACAGTCAGTGCGTGTTCAGAAGTACTGCTGAAGTGACCTGTCTAGAAATAATTTAGTGACCGACATGTCAGTTTTTAGACCTTTCGTCTGCTTCATTAGCGCAATCGCTGGAAGAGATCTCCAAGAATCACTTCAGTTTGGCTTTGCTTCTTTTCTCCTTCTCATCTTCTTTCAGCGACTTCAAAAATGGACTTTCTTTAGCGGCGAACTGGTCGTGGATTCTCGTCCGCGAAGCTACAGTTTAAAAAAGCCTCTAAGAACCGCTGCATAAACCACATAATCCTCACACACCGGCGAGTCAGTTACACTAGAAACGTAGGAAGTTTGATTGACAACCTGAAAGCCAATAGAAAATGAGGCAGCCTCGTTTTCTATTGGCTGATGTTTGTCTGGCCTCACTACGTCCACAGTTGATAGATTTTCATTTGTTTTTTTTTTTGGTCATCATAATTACAAGGCTGCAGTGTCTCTGTAATGGTCTTTTAAACTTTCATTGACAATTTGAACCTAAAAAAAATCCTCAATACAACCTTTAAAAGAGATAAAATGTGCAAAATGAACTTGAACTTTTAACAATGTTATTAAAGTGTTCTCTCGTCATTAACCAAAGTTTTATTTTGATTGATTAATGAACGTGTGTGTAATATTGTATTTGAGGCTTGAGTGTTCAGAATGTGCTTTCACCTACCCCCTATCTCCGCCCACTTTTCTGTACTTAACTGTGATCATTCAAAAATGTTCAGTTTCAGTTTTTCATTTGTATTATTGTATTATATGATCTACAGTATATTGTAGTGATGTAACAATATTCAAATCTTGGTACAATATTATCACGATATTTATTTATGTATTTATTCATTTGATTTGCAAACTACATACATTACAACAAATAGGAACCAAGCAACATACAAGATACAAGACAAAGATTACATAAAAATAGGGACAAAGGTGACAGGGGTTGGCGACACAGTGAACCTTATATGTGTGTGTGTGTGTGTGCATATGTGTGTACATGTGTGCATATGTGTGCGTGTGTGTGTGTGTGCGTGTGTGTACATGTGTGCATATGTGCGTGTGTGTGTGTGTGTGTGTGTGTGTGTGTGTGTGCGTGTGTGTGTGTGCATGTGTGCGTGTGTGTGTGTGTGCATATGTGTGTGCGTGTGTGTACATGTGTGCATATGCGTGTGTGTGTGCAGGAGTGTATGTGTGTGTGCACGGGGGGATAGACAGGCTATGCGGATGATTTACTGCTGACCTGTATTATTACTAGTTAATTTATCATGGAACGATATTTATTACGATATTTTAAAGAGGCTGATATAATTGTAGATAGGATAATTGTTTTAAAACCTTGACAAGATTTTGGTGTGAATTATTTCCATCATAATCCCAAGAATTCAAGTAAAAAACATATTTCTATTTCTTCCTGTTGTTTGCGCTGAAATGAATCATGGGATATGTAGTTTCCGATGTTTATAAGCTGTTGCTACTATAAAACTATGCATTTAAGCAAAGAAACTTGTGATTCAATATATTGTGACAGTCCATGATATTATTGTGAGACTTTGACGATACGATATCACGATATTTTGGTTATTGTTACATCCCTAGTACATCACAAACATCCCTGGAGTTGTTTTTTGTTTCTTTCACACATGTTTAACACATAAATCCATATATTTGTGTGATATTAGTTCTCTCAAACAGAAAACACTCATCAAAACCAACATGTGACAATACAGGAAGTGCTCCACCATGTTTTTAAACTCCATACACCTTCACTAGAATCATAATTTCAGACCTGGAACTGCCAATCTCTACTGAATTAAAGGTAAAACGTAGCTGTTAACTTGAAAACAACCATTTCATGACATCACAAAGTGGAACAGAGCATTCTCAGGTTTGGAGATGTAAACAGACTCAATACAGAGTTACTCAAACGTGTGAATGAAACAAAACACAACTCTGGGTCTGTTTTTGATGAGGTAACAACATTATAACATGACTTAAAGCTCACAATAGTCAATTTCGTGTAATATACGACCTTAAAATACATGTTATATTTTAGTTTGTCCAGGTCACAGGGCAGGACACTCTATGGCGTCATCACGTGAGATTTTACGTCCACTCTGTAACATGTTGTGCAGTTCGTGGATATAAACTTAACTGAATCTGAAGAGTCACGATATAGACATAATGATAATAAACTGAATGAGGTTTATGAATATAGTAAGTGAATTTTACAAAAACAAAATCGAAAATACAACTGCATGCAACTCTATAGATCGTGAAAAGACGCTCTGACGCACGTTGAAATCTACTGTTATTTTCATTTTTATGGACTGATAATTATTATTCACAGTCATCAGTTCTTGCAACAACATAAAAAGTTTGTATCGACACAAATTCCAGTGTGATCTTACCGAGGTCCGACGGCCGTGGCTGGTAAACTTTGCTCTCGCTGCTCATATCGACTTGAACTCATCCCCGGTGCGTCCTGGTTTAATCCTCGCGTGAAGAAGACCCGGAGCATGGTTCCTACACCGCACAACTATTCATCCCCGCGCCGAAGTTTCATTCCGTGGGTTGCTGTCTCCCGTGGACTCTGCGCTCTCGCTGGACCGTGCGTATTCTGCGCGTAAAAGCACAGTCTCATCTTCTGCTGAGCACGCGCCTCACGCTCCCGGTGGTTCCAGGTATCACCTTAACTCCGGATCACAACACGAGGTAACGTTAGCCCCGGCTCTGTCCGGTTCAGAGGCTGCGCGGTGCATCACAACAGCACAGGACTGGACTTCTGTGTGATCAGGAGAAGTGCCGAAGTCACATCAGGATATGGTAAGAATAACAAATAGTGTTGGGAAGGTGACTTTTAAAATGTATTCCCCTACAGATTACAGATTACATACCCCAAAATGTAGTTTGTAACGTAATCCATTAAATGACTTAAAGTGAGTAATGTAATCTGAATACTTTGGATTACTGGATATCGTAACATACGATGTTTTGTCTCCTAAAAGAAAATAAAAAGCCCAGACTTTACTGAACTGTATTAAAAATATTATTGATAGAAGAAGACGAGACACGTCCACACAGCAGGATTTAGTCCTGTTAAATCCTGTTAAATCCTGTTTTACACCTGTCTTAGACCTGGTTTAGATCTAGTTTAGACCTGGTTTAGACCTGGTTTAGACCTGGTTTAGACCTGGTTTAGTCCTGGTTTAGTCCTGGTTTTAGACCTGTTTTAGACCTGTTTTAGACCTGTTTTAGATCTAGTTTAGATCTAGTTTAGAGCTAGTTTAGATCTGGTTTAGTTTCCACAGCAGTGAGTGGGGGATATAGCCCAAAATGTGAAAACAGGAAAATATTGCCCTGTAATCCATTTATTTCAACAAAGTAACTGTAATCCAATTACCACTCACTGAAACAGTAACTGTAACCGAATACAGTTACTCATAATTTGTACTCTGATTACATAACTCCGGTACATGTAATCTGTTACTCCCCAACACTGATAACAATGCACTAAATGGTATCAAATAATGGACTAAATTCACCCAGCAGACATAGAGTGACCAGATTTTCAAAATAAAAGAACTGGGTCATCCCTGGTTTGTGGTGGCTGGTTATAATAAAACTGTGAAACGAGTGCGTAATGAACTAACTAATGTGAGTCAGTATAGTCACGATTTTCTTTGTGTTTTGGTCATTTTTAAGCAGCTTTTCTGTATTTGACCTAAAGAAATAACAATGTATGCCTCTTTTTTTTTTTTTTATGGCGGCATGGTGGCTGAGTGGCAAGAAGGTTCTGGGTTCGATTCTCGGGTCGTCCAGGCCTTTCTGCGTGGAGTTTGCATGTTTCTCCCCATGTCTGCATGGGTTTCCTCCGGGCGTTCTGGTTTCCCCCATCAACCCAAAACATGCTCCAGGTCTCCAGAAAGAACAGTTCAAAGTCAAGGTCAATTAAATATAATCAATCAATGAACCTGTCCAGAGCACAGGCGCTAGTGGCAAGACACTTCACCCACAAAACTGGGACTGTCTCAGATAAAAAAGGGACATGTACTCACCCTGAACAGACAATATGTGCCTTTTTTTTTTTTTTTTTTTTTTTTTTGTCAGTAGGTCAGGAGGTTTCTGTTTTGAAACAAACTGCCCCCTGATTTGTGCACCATCACAGACTTTGGCCTGGTTAAATCTAAGCTCAAAACTCAAAAGGGCCCCCTGTTGTTCAGTCTCTACATGCTGCCATTAGGCCAGTTAATAAGCAGCAATAACATGTCCTACCACAATTATCAGATGACACTCAGATCTACGTCTCACTGCAGCAGGAGACTATGGACCAGTGGACTCACTCTGTCACTGCATCCAACAGATCAGTGTGGATGCAAAACAACTTTCTCCAACTAAACTCTGACAAGACTGAAGTCATAGTGTTTGGTCCACAGAAACAAAGGGACAGTGTCAGCAGTCACCTCCAGTCTCTCTCTCTAAAACCTTCAAATCAGGCAAGAAATCTCGGGGTAATAATGGACTCAGACTTGAACTTTAACAGCCACATCAAATCAATACATCTGCAGACTTTTACCATCTAAAAAACATAACAAAATCATAGCAAAAATCAAAGGTTTACTGTCTAAATCAGACTTGGAGAAACTTATCCATGCGTTTGTCTCCAGTAGGTTAGATACTGTAATGTTCTGCTCACTGGTCTCTCCAAACGAGCTGTGAGACGCTGCAGAACATCCAGAACATCCAGAACATCCAGAACATCCAGAACATCCAGAACGCTGCAGCTCGGGTCCTTACTCGAACTAGGAAGTACGAGCACATAAGTCCTGTGCTCAGGTCTCTGCACTGGCTCCTGTGCCTCAGAGACTTTAAAGCAGCTCTGCTTGTGTACAAGTCTCTCCATGGCCGAGCACCAAAGTCCATCTGTGACATGTTAGTGTCATATGAACCATCTCACACTCTGAGGAGCTCAGGGACCGGCCTCCTGCTGGTGCCCAGAGTCACGACTAAACAAGGGGAGTCAGAGTTTCAGGTTCATGCAGCTAAAACCTGGAACAGTCTGAACATGTGAGACAGACTCTTCTGTGACGCTGTTTAAATCCAGACTCAAAACATTTCTGTTTAACTGTGCATATAACTGAAAGGTTTTCATTCTGCACTCTTCTCTCCAATTTATGTCTCTCTTTTTTAATTTTAATCTTCATGATTATTTATGTTTGATTTATTTTTATTATGATTTTAATGTATTTCTTATTCTGTAAAAAACTTTGAATTACTTTGTGTACGAATTGTGCTATACAAATAAACCTGACTTGCCTTTATTGAGACACTTTGCATTTATTTGATTTCATTGTTTAATATTTTGACTGTTTTGTATTATGTTGGTTTTATTGGAAAGCACTTTGGTCACCTTGAGTCTTGTAAAGAGCTCTAGAAATAAAACTGGATTGAGTAACAGAAAGACTGAACGGGTAAACTTATGTTAAAGGTGCAGAACGTGAAGTTAAAAGCACACTAAGAAACATTCCGCATGGTGATAGATACATTTTACATCATGCTGTGGATAGCAGAGCTAAAAGAACAAGCAGGAGCAGGCCGTCCCACAGGCCAAATAAGAGTCAGGTTTGTGGAGATGCAAGCCTGCTTACATAAGGAATGCACATTTTTTCATAGTTTTTCAGTGTAATAAACACACACAAACATGTAGTAAAAAGTTTTATACTTTTTTGCAGACATTATAGACTAAATAACTTGGAGATTCAGGGCCTCCTCATGGTCTAGTCTTGTATAACGGAGAGATTGTGTCATTATCAAACACACAGCACCTTGCACATGAGATACTACCTCGTTAGATCATTATTTATATAAAATTGTATTCCCAGTTTCCTCCTGGTTTTGTTTAATAGTTAATGATTTTGAGTAAATTTCCCCAGACACTGTCCTGTCATCGCCCACTGCTCCTCACTAAATGGGTCAAATGCAGAGGACAAATGACACTTTACTGAACCGTTTAGGAATAAAGCTGGGTCCAAAATATCCACAAAATATTTATTATACAAAATAGAACATTACATTTGTATTTAAATAAACAAATATTTGAAGAAAAGAGAGGGTTCATTGTTTTTACTTTTTCTGCTTTTGATTCTCTGTCATCTGGTCAAAAGTGTAAATTCTGTTTTTTAAATGGCTGAGTTTGGCCTTGAGATAATCACAGCGCTCCTTCTTCTCCCAGAACGTTGGATCCTGGAACAGACGGATCACAGACAGTTACAACATTATTCACATCATCATCTACTAGTATTTGTAAGCATTTAAAGTGGAACTAAACACTAAATCCACTCTTTCGCTACTAAATGGAGTATACAATGTTTTATTAGCATTATCTTATGTTTTTTAAGGTAAATTCTAGGTAAAGTTGCTGCTTTCTGGTCAAATGTGTCTAAATCTTTATTTGTACTTCCTTCAGTGGCCTCTGTAATTTCAAGTAGTTGGTGACATCACACAAAACTGCCCTTGATGTTTGATATTACAAAACATCTGGATGAAGGAGCGGTGTTTGAAGTGTGGATTCCTATCAGACCAATCACACTGTTCCTTATATCTCTAGCCCCGCCCCTCATCCTCCTTCACTCTTTTCTTTAGTCCTCCAGGTTCTGCCCAGTTCAGTTAGTCAGGCTGGCACCACCTAGGTCCTCCGCTCAATTTCATTTCTCTCCAGCAACTAGGTCAGGAATCAGAATACACTAGGCGGTTCACAAACCCCCGGAAGTGCGAGTTCGGGCACCAGCCAATCAGCGAAGAGTCAGACATTCTATGTTGGCAACGAATCCCGAGATCGAGGATTTAAAGCCGGAACAAAGAGAATGTTTGGTGAATTTTATCAAGGGGAAAGACGTTATTGTTCTTCTTCCTACAGGATTTGGGGAAAGCTTAATATACCAGTTAGTCCTGTTAGTGACGCATTACATACATCACGACCAAATAGTAGAGATTGGTAAAATTAAAAAAAAAAAAGTACCAGCCTACTGTCCAATGAACGAATTCTAACACTGTGAGGTCAGACGGTTTCCACAAAGTGAAACTGGCTGATGAATCAGGCTACTGTTCAGCAGCTCTATTTGAAATGTTTATGGCAGAGTTTTACTCCCACTTTAAAAATATCTGTACTTACATTCTTTTTCTCTTCTAACTTTTGTAATATGATCTGTATCCTCTGTGGATTCTGAAAGAGAGAAGACAGACAAAACATGATTACTGTCTGTTTTAAAAAAGAAACACTCCACATTGATGAGAGTTAAAAGTTAAAACATTGTGTATTTTATGTTGTTAAACTTTTATATTGCTAATGTTAACAACAAATAGCATACTAACTGCACACTTCCTGACTCTCAGTCACTAAAACCCTTTATAATAGATGGCATCTCAGTTGGTTTGTCCACTGAGCTAAAGGTTGGTGGTTTGAATCCTGCTCTCGACATTCAGCGGTCAGATTCAGTGACACACAGGTTGTCGGTGTGTTTCCAGCTCCCACAGATGAATGCTGTCGTAGTGTCTGTGAGCAAGACACTTAATCCACCAAACCCCTAATGTCCGTATACAGAGGTGTGTGAGTAGATGACTGGTTCCTTGTTGTAAAGTGCTTTGAGTGCCTATAATTAGATGCGGACAGTGCACAATTGACATTTTTTGAACTCAAGAGCTGCTTATACATAGAGAAAATGGATAAGAACTCAACAACAAATTCCTGTAGCCCTATTTCATCGAGACTCAAACTCTAACCTTAGTAGACACATTGTACACAGGACTGTCAACAGACATTTGGGGCCCTGGAGTAAGAAAGCAAGCATAGTCCCCTCTCTAAGACTCAGACTGCAGGGCTTAATGCTCAATTCCAATTTTTTTGTGAAATCTGATGTTTTTGCGAGGTCGTTCACATTTCCAATTAAATGTGACTTGTATGTGACTCCAGTGTGAACATTAAACAGCCCGAAAGTGTCCCACATGTGCACTGGAGACACGACGACGTCAACCTCAGCGAGCGTGCTCTGTGTTTATGGAAGTTGTCCAAACATGGACGCAGCATCGAGCACCTGGAGATTTTAAAGTTCCTCTCGTACCGGAGCCAGAACATGAACAACTTACTTGTTTTAAGGAGGAGATTGAGAAGGAGAAGGACAAGGTTTTTGGTCGTGGTGTTTTGTGGGACAGCGGCAGTGACGTCCGTTGAAAGAAACGTGTGGATGTGGAGACGTAACCAAGAGTGGTGAGTGGTGATGTGTTTCGCTTCAGTGACACAGAGTTCATTAACAATTTTCACCTACTTCAGCGCAGAATAGTGATGTTTGTGGCTTGTTGATAACGTGTAGGTCGAATGAATGCGCTTTGACCGTTCACACTGAAGTTGCATGTCAAAAGATCAGATATGTACCGGTTTTAGGAGCACATATCCAAGTGTCCTGGGTCATATTTGAAAAAAAATTGATCTGTGTCATTCAGACTGTCATTAAAAGATCGGATACAGGAGCATAGAAGCCAAAAAATCTGATTTGGGTCACTTCAGGCTGCAGTCTGAACGCAGCCTAATACAAATGAATAGGCAGAGGTTCCAGTTCTGGGCTCCTAAGACCCTGGAGCCTGGAACAATAGACCCCTTTGTCCAGCCCTGTTGACTCCCCTGATTCACACAGTACTGTGCGTCTGATTGCACACAGTATTGCGCGGCTGATCGTACACAGTATTACGCGGCTGATCGTACACAGTCTTGCGCGGCTGATCGTACACAGTATTGAGCGGCTGATCGTAAATAGTATTGCGTGGCTGATTGTACACAGTATTGCGCGGCGTTCTGGTCTGACCTGTGTTTTGTCCCGGAGCAGTCTGTCCATCAGAGCGTCCAGTTGTCTGAACTTGGACAGGGTCAGGCTGATGTGGTGGTGCAGGTCTTTGTACTCCTGATACTGGTCATTAAACACAGCCCGGTACTCGTCCCTCTGCTCCAAACTTGTGATCTCTGGGTACTTCCTGAAACAAGCAAAAACAGTGGGTTCAAAATTTATTTTTAAATGCCACTCCTAATTTCAATGTGAACATCAGCCAAGAGTGAATGGTGGTGCACTGAGGAGTTCAGCATTTTAAAGAGCTAGTTTATAGTTGAGCTGGAATAGTCAAGGTATCTTTTTTATTATTTAAAATTTCTTTCAAAAAACCACCCTGAGTGTATTATTTCCATCTGAATCTGATGTGACATTTTTCACAACTATTCCAGTTTCCCATTGTTTTATTTTGCTTTGAAAAAAATAAAAAATGAAAGGTCTGAGGCTTGCTGTGAGCCAATCCGATATGTGGTGACTAAGCTGTTAAATATTGTGTTGAATTTTAAGTTTTTGGATTGAAAGCAATCATAAGCTACCACATAACTGTTTAGTCTGTGTTGTGCCTTCAAACTACCGTATTTTCCGCACTATAGGGAGCACTCAAAAGCCTCCAACCGCATCGAAAAACGACTGTGTACCCCACAATCCAGAGCACACGAATCCACTTGGGTGTCCCAGCACGACTTCAGTAAACTACAAAGCCGCAAACACACACGGAGCAGACAGTGACCGCACAACGAAACACACCCACAGACACACTCATCACTCCACGGCGACGAGGAACGGAACGGAGGAACGAACCGAAAAAGCGAGTGCAATGTGCCACTTCTAGACACAACTGAACAACTGAGTCTCTGCGAACACACCGACAATCCTGCGGTCCCAGACAGCACCCTCCCTACACGCCACAACTGAACAAAGCCCAGAGTCACCGTGAACACCACAAACAAACAAAACCACTCACCCATCACACTGTTGTGTTTCCTTTAAACTCCAGTGAGGTTTATTTGTGAAAAAAGTTCGAAAATAGACCATTTAAGTGTGACTTATAATCCAGAGCACCTAATAGCCCGGAAAATACGGTATTTGAACATTTTAGCTCCTTTACAATAAATTTGTAAATCCAGTAGATTCCCTCACATGATGTAGTCTGCGATGACCTTCACTCGTGTCTTTCTGGCTGTGCTGGCTCCGGTTTGGTTGATGAAGGTTTTCACTGGAGCTTTTTCAGAATCAGGACCTTTCACACTTTTACTGTAGTCTGTCTCTGTTTGGTCCCTGAAGGAAATCTGCTTTGGTTTTTGTGGCACCAGAGGCATCGAGTTTGGAACCTCACTGGGCTGAAACGACAAGTAAATACATGACATACAATTGTACAACAGCGTTCATTTCTGCTTGATGGTTAGACTCTCACTAATAACAGTGTTCTGCTCTAAACCAGACATGTCAAACTCAAATTCACAGAGGGCCAACATTAAAGGGACAGTTCAAACGTTGGACATAGGGCCTCATTTCCTCATGATCCAGAGTGTTGGAGACGTGTGGAGACACTTTTTGAAATATTCCATCCAGTCCTTGTATTTGTAGAGGTCACTGGTGTTAGACTAGTGCATGTCAATGGTCATAGTTCACCTGCCACTAAAAACAGTCTTACCCACTCCACAAAACACCCCAAACAAATCTATTATTACACCAGACTGTCCATGTGCATGTCTGTGTTGATAGAATAATGTTTGAAATAAAACTAACCTTGAGTTGCATGAATCGTGCATGTTGAGGGACTATTTTCTCATATATCAGTCCACCACTGCCAAGATTTCTATCAGGAAGAACAACTCAGATAGAAATCCTTCAAATGCAAAGTTGGTTTTACTTCTAAAATGATTCTATCAACACAGACATGCACATGGACAGTCTGGTGTAATAATAGATTTGTTTGGGTGTTTTGTGGAGTGGGTAAGAGTGTTTTTAGTGGCAGGAGAACTATGACCATTGACATGCACTAGTCTAACACCAGTGACCTCTGCAAATACAAGGACTGGATGGAATATTTCAAAAAAGTGTCTCCACACGTCTCCAACACTCTGGATCACTAGGAAATGAGGTCCTATGTCCAAAATTCCAAACTGTCCCTTTAAAGTCATGGGCCAAACTAAATATTTATTGAAAAATTTCAACCACAGCTGCATGTTTTCTCCTTTTGAGATCTGTAATGTTAAATAAGGTTTAATAATAGTTCTGCTTAAACACTGAATCCAGAACAAACAAAATATAAAATAAAATTTTAAATAAATAATGTCTCTTTAGCAGGAGTCTCCAACCTGTAGCTCCGGAGCTTCCAGTTGCTCTCCACCTGTTTACAAGCAGCTCACCAAAGGATTTCTGAATTATATGTACTTATTTATTTATGTATCAAATTTGATGAATTACCACTGTAAATGTGTTATTTTGAGCTTTGTGCACTAATAAATGGATAATGGTTTTATATTTTATAGGCAGCTAACTGTACATCTAAGGCTCGCCCTCTTATATCGAATCCATTTTTTACAGCCACTAAAATGAGTAGCTCTCCAGCATTTTCATTTTGTAAGGGTAGCTCACTGGATGCAAAAGGTTGGAGATCCCAGCTCTACAGTCTATCTGTAGCTGGTGGGCAGCTCTAAAACATATTCAGTATGATCTCATGGGCCAAATATAATTATATTGCAGGACAAATTTGGCCCTCGGGCCTGAGTTTGACATGTCTGCTCTAAACCATGTGAAGATTTGTTTTTCTTTGAGTAATTCTGTGACGTGTTCTGATGGACTCAAAAGACACAAAATTGCTTTTTCCCCACCATCATTAGTGAGTGATTCTTAGATGTTAACCTGCATTTGAGGCTTGAGAGATAAAAAAAAAAATATCAGTTTCTACCTATCACCTATCCTCACAGCTATTTAGGCTCCTTTACTTATTATATGATCTGTGTTAAAGGGATAGTTCAGGTTTTTTGACATGAATCTGTATGGTATCCCCGTCAGCAGTGTCGTGCATCTACAATGACTTCACCTCCGAAAGCGTCCGGTGAGCCCAGATCCTGGCCGGTTTTGGTGCTGAGGAAAGTAGTCCGGCAAGTTGTGCTGGGGACTGTATAATAAAGCGTTTTTCTTCTCAAAACAATATGTGTTCAAAAGAGCGATACATTTGCATCACAAAACCTCCGTCCTCTAAAAAGTCAGACCTCATAATCACTTGGCGCTATTTTCTATATCACTGCGCATGGCCGCCAGGTGACAGCCACGCACGGATCAGTAATTTTCTTCAGTTGTTCAGCAGTGTTTACTTGTTCAGACCGCCACGATGTGAGAGACCTAATGTCAGAGCTAGTGTGATAGGTATATAAGCTTGTATAAGATACATAACTATGTATCTAAAAAATGGTGCGAACTTGCGATTTTCCAGGCTGTAACAACAAAAATCTGTCTGAATCTCTGCACAAATTTGACCATTTTCCTGTAACGGACATATATTCGGGTTCAAAAAGATCTCCCATTGGCTCTGTGCTAAAATCAATTTCTTCATCATCGGTGTCGTAATCAGACATGTTGTCCCTAACATTCCGAGCAGTAAACAAAGTGAAACAGGCGCAGCTGTCACCTGGCGGCAGCGCGCAGTGATACGTATGGAGAGAAATAGTGCCAAGTGATTATGAGGTCTGACTTTTTAGAGGACGGAGGTTTTGTGATGCAAATGTATCACTCTTTTGAACACATATTGTTTTGAGAAGAAAAAAGCTTTATTAAACTGTCCCCAGCCAACTTGCTGAACTACTTTCCTCAGCACCAAAACCGGCCAGGATCTCAGCTCACCGGACACTTTCGGAGGTAAAGTCAGTGTGGATGCACAACACTGCTGACGGGGATACCATACAGAGTCATGTCAAAAAACCTGAACTATCCCTTTAAGAGTGGACAACCTGCCTCGTTGTATTCTCACATGTCACCACTAGATGTGATCTGTGCTACTGCTGTCTGACACTAGATTTGTCCTGACAACAGAAGACCAGAGGGCACAGGTGAGTCTGAACAAAGGCCAGGTGAGGGGAGGGAAGGGGCAGCAGGTTTCACATTTGCAATCTACTGTGATCAAATAAACTTGCAGATGGTAACTTTAAAAGTACTTGCGTTGACTTACAATAAATAAACCCACTAATATAGTCCTCCAGAACTTCAGTTTTCACTCACCTCATTTAGAAAGCTCTCTCTTTCTCTCCTCGCAGCCTCGTGCCTCCACATCTTCAGACAGACCAGAAAGCTGATCAGATACAGAACCATGTTGATGAAAATAAAAGCTGTTCCGGCCACCTGCCCTCCCTCCACTCTGCACAGACTGGCCATGATCGGGTTCACGCCAATGGTCGAGAAGCACAGCCCTCCGCGGTTCAGATCATTCACGTACACGATCCCTCCTGCCATGTACAACAGAAACATCGCTACGTTCACAAACGCCTCCGTCAGTGGCCACCAGGGGGAGTCCAGCAAAATTGTCCGGTAGTACATCGTCATTCCAACAACCAAAAGAACGAATGTTATGATCCAAGAAACTCCCGCGACGGCCAACACAAACGGCGTCATCGGACCACGGTAGCTGTATCCGGAAAGTCCATGTCCGTTGTTGTACGCTCCGTTGTACATCCCGTACGCGTTGGACCATTCACTATCTTTTTGGATGTACGCGATGACGCACGCGAAAATCATCCCGCCAAAAAGTAGCTCCATTCCGGCCAGCAGTCTCAGCAAGCCTGGCCATGATTTTAAGTAGGCGTATTTCAAGTTGTAGATCTCAACTTTTTCAGCGTAATACTCAGCTGGGTGGAGGCTAGTGAGTAACGATTCTTCTTGTTCGTACCTCAAGACATTTTTATCAGAATTTTGGCTTGAATCGCTTTGGTAAATGTCGTGCTTTCTTCCAGCTAATGGGCTTACTGGTGGACTAACTCGTGTGCCATTTGGGAGGATCGGAATCCCGCTAGAGCTCGCGTCGGAATCGTCATTTTCCGTTTTTTTGTTTAGCCGTAGAAGAGTTTGAAGTCGACTTTTGAGGCTGGACTTGGGGTCGCTCTTGGGTTCAGAAGAAGGGGGAGTGCCGGATCTCCCTCCCGTTGAGTTGGTATCGTCCGGCGTGGGGGTGTGGTCGACCCAAACAGGAATTGGTTTCTGATTGGATGATTCGTTCAAAGAGGAGGTTTCACTTGTGCTGTCGTCCTTCTCGCGGCTCCTCATGCTTCAACGGCAAGTCCAACTTAAAAATGATGAATCCTGTGAGTGAAAAACATAAAATAATTGATTCATTACATTTGTGAGGCATATTAAATGTACAAAATTTAAAAAGTCTTGGTCAGATCAGAGAAATTTGCAGTGTAATTTTCAAGATGACAGCTCCTTTTTACCATTTGTTCAGAATTGGCAGGAATTGGCAATTCCAGAGCTGATATGATCCAAATGATTCTAGCGAAGGTGCATGGAGTGAAAAAAAAAAACAAGAATAAAATAACATAATATGGGCCCTTTAATCCATCTGACTATGACTGTTAGAAAGTTCACTATCTTGTTTGACTACAACACAGTGCTCTCTCATTACATGTGACAAAAGGTAATAATTAATATTTCAGAAGAGCGTCCACAATATCAGCAGACTGAGATGAGTACAGTAAGTCCAGTACTATCTATAAGCATAATTTCATTGTGGTTTATTTTGTGCAATCATAAACAATAAACTTTTGTGCCTTTGTTAACTTTGGGTCCGGTCAAGCGGTAACGGAGGGAAACGGGCAAATTTTTTACATTCAAATAGCTCTTATTCAGAAACTAAAAAACTTAAAAAACTCATGTTGGTAACGGAGGGAATGAAATATGCTGCACTTTTTGGGCAATAAATCCAAACAGTGATAACTCTTGGTTCTCATTTACATATCCCTAACAAACTGGTTTGAATATTTGCTTCATATAGTTTTCTACCATATGGTACAAGATTAGGTTGAAAAACCTCTTACTTTTTGAGTCATGTAACGGAGGTAACGGAGGGAAAATTAACGGAGGGAAAATTGTGCAAACAAGTAGAAGGTGCAGGATTTTACATCATTTGTCAACTTTTTTCTTCTGAATACTTTAATATTATTTCAAAATGAAAGGAAACTATTTCTATAAAATATGTCAGTCCTTCCAAGCAAATTTTTATCATTTTAAATACTTTTTTTTTTTTTTTTGAAAAGTCATGTACCTTCATCAACAGTTCAAAGATGGAATAACACAAGATATGATGAAATACATCCATTTATTTACATGATTTGCAGGTCTTTAAAATTTGGGAAATAATTTTTGTTCCATGTTTCATACATGGTCTGTTTAAAACATATGGAACTTTAGAACCAAAAATGGTACAGAAAAAAGGTCAACAGTTTGATAAAC